AAAAAAAAAAAAAAAAAAAAAAAAAAAAAAAAAAAAAATACTGCAATTTTGACATCAGTGAGTCACATCAACTTATTTCTAGGGCTGATGCTGCTTCACAGTTGAGATGACCTCATCTCAGGCTGCAGGCTCAGTTGCGTTCAATTGCACTCAAGGCCTGGCTCGTGGACCAGGTTTATCTGCACAGAAGAACAGGGCTGCCGATGCATGCCCTGTCCCTCTGCTCGCCACCTGTACGGCGGCCTTAGCAGGCACATTGCATATGTCCAGGAGAAATCCCTTTCAAAGAATCAGTGAGGTTTTGGACTGTGAAAGACATCTGCCTATCTTTTCCTGCGTCAGGACTTGAATACCGAGCAGCTGCTCAGAGCATTCCCCTCCCTGTGTACCCCTGGAGCCCTGCCGCTTTTCTAAGTGCTCCACAGGGGTGCTGAGACCCCTCTACAAGTGCTTTCTGATGCGAAAAAGTTTTCTGGCAGGGGTGGGGAAGGCATAGGGGTAAGGGAGTGGGGATCATAGCTGCACTCCATCCACTCAGATTCTTTACCTATTTGATGCATTTTCCTTCGGTAACCAGAGCCCCTGAGAGCGGGGATTCTGATTCAGCCTGTACCGACTGAGGAAGGAGATGGAAGAATTCCACTTAGCGGTTGGATCGGACATTTCTGGAAAACACCAGCACGGCACAGAGATGGACAGTACAGCCTGCCCTACATGGGCGGCTGTCCACACAGTCTACAGGAAGCGGGTATGGCAATCACATGTAAACAACATCGAGAGCAAATACTAGGACAGAACTACGATGAGATGGTTGCCAACGGCGGCTGCTCCCTCTGGGTTACTCCTTAATTTGGTGGGAAAGAGACCAAGGTTGACTCTTCCAGGAGAGACCCTGGAGACTCCTTGGTAAATAACACACAGCACCGAATGAGTCTTCCAGATAGAAGTAGTCTGCAGGGTTGTCAGCTTTAGAACGCGCAGCCTTTTTTGTATGGGATGACAGGCAGAGACTGCTGGACGTCTTTGGCAGGCATCCTCCCCTCCCCATCAGCGGCCCCAGCCCTGACCTTGGGCACATCAGGTCCCAGTAGCACGCTCGTCCCTGCTCTGCTCAAGGTCAAATGCCCAAGCGATGTCAAATGCCCGGGACTGAACTCGTGAAAAGGCAGCTTCAGGTGACCCTGAAAGTGGGGAGGGAGAGGCTCATCTTTCCCTTAAAGTCTGCATTTCTTTATCTTAAGGAACCACCAGCCCAAGGTAGAACCCTTGGCCTAGTGTAACTGAGGAAGAAGCAAATAGAAGATATCATCTGACAAATTCTCCTCCAGCACGGTGAGGCTCAGGGAGGGAAGGGACTGAGCAAAGCTACAGAGGAAATTCTTGGTGAAGTCAGGACTCACCCTTCTCTGCACACTGTGAATCTGGTGTCTTTCCTATCTACAGGGTGATATCTGCTTACTCCTTGATGCAAATCAGGTCTTGGTGGAGGCGTCAGAAGGATTTACTTCCATTCCTGCTCTTTACAATGTACCTACCTTGTGCTAGGCAGTGAGCAGCTCTACAGTGTTCTAGAATGTTGGGCCTGTGCTGCGGAAAGTCCCTTTTTGGTCTCTCTTTCTAAGCCCTGCCTTCCTTAAATACGTTCCCGTCTACTAACCCTCACCCCCATCCTACCCTCCTCAAACAGAGATGTATGTCGCAGTATTACTGGCTGCCTTGTGCCAGGGGATGGCTTTAGGGACATTTCTTTCACTGATCAGGACATGGCAGACAGGAATGAGCTAGCAGGAAACCCAGAGACCATATAGTTGTGCATGACTGGTGGAAATCTTCCAAAACTTAGGCCAGGATGTCCGACACGCTAATCAATCTGTAATGACTGCCTAGACCTCTGTGTTGAGGACAGGGACAGGCGTGCCGTGACTGGCTGGTTACGTCTGTGTGGGCCGAGGCTGCCGTTGTGGTGGCACCCGTGCTGTGTGCCTGCTATCTTCCTTAACAAGCTGAGATGGCTGAGACCTGCCTCATGGTCCCTCTCCATCCGTTTCAAAGAAAAGCAAACTGGAATCTGGAGAGGTCAACTGACTTGATACACAGGAGCTCAAATTCCCTGTCCCTGCTAAGGCCCGTCTCCTCCAGCCTTCTCCATGGGTGGGGAGCACTCTCGTCGCCCAGGCAAGACCGTGGGCGCTGCTTCAAGGTCTCAAAGGACCAGGCCCGCCAGCAGCGACGGGAAACTTAGCCTGTTCAATACCTCACTTTCAAACTTTTTAAAGTAGCAGGGGCCTTTTTTCCTTAAGTACAGAAATGTCCCAAGGAACTCAGACGTATGAAAAAGACCAAGGAGGAGCCACTCCGTGAAAGAGTTTACGCTCACACCCTCCCTGGCCACGCTCTCCCTGACGCATGGCTCCCGGGTACCCACAGCACATCAAGCTGGGCACGGCATTGTCATCCCTCAAGAACACGGAGTTTGAAGTGCAGCCCAACCTGAATGTTTCCTCAGTTTGAAGCGAGTGTGGATATTGCCGCGTTCTTCATCACACCCCCCCCCCCTCCCCCCCC